AGTAGCTGGGACTACAGGCATGCACCACCATACCCGGCTAATTTTTACATATATACACATTTTTAGTTGTCCAGATCATTTCTTTCTATTTTTTAGTAGGGACGGGGTCTCGCTCTTGCTCAGGCTGGTCTCGAACTCCTGACCTTGAGCGATCCACCCGCCTAGGCCTCCCAGAGTGCTAGGATTACAGGCGTGAGCCACCGTGCCCAGCCTGCATTGGGCTTTTCTTAAGCTCAAAGGAATGCTATATGCTGAAAATTTTAAGGCGCTATACAGAAGAAAGGAATTTTTTTGTTAGCAGTGGCTTGATAATGAGAAGATATATCTGAAGCTTTTTAGTGTCCATGGTTCTCCTTTAGTGGTATATTACATAGTATGTGTTCAGGAGTGTAGTAAATACTTTGTGTTTAGTAGGGTATTACATAGTATATTATTAATAGTGTATTACATAATAGGTTCAGTAGTGTATTCCATAGTGTCTGTTTAGTAGTATGTTACACAGTATGTGTTCAGTAGTGTATTACATAATGTGTGTTCAGTAGCGTATTGCATAGCATGTGTTCAGTAGTGTATTACATAGTGTATGGTTAGTAGTGTATTACACAGTCTATGTTTAATAGTGTAGCACATAGTATGTGCTCGGTAGTGTATTACATAGTACGTGTTTGATAGTGTATTACATAGTGCGTGTTTGGTAGTGTATTACATAGTATGTGTTTGCTAGTGTATTGAACAGTGTATTACATAATGTTTGGTAGTGTGTTACATAGTACGTGTTCAGTAGTGTATTGCACAGTGTGTGTTTAGTAGTATATTACACAGCATGTTTTCAGTAGTGTATCACATGGTGTGTGTTCAACAGTGTATTGCATAGTGTGTGTCATGTAGTGTGTTACATGTACACTAGTATACACTAATACATAGTGTGTAGCTTTGTATTGTTTACAGTTTCCCTTTAGCAGTACGTTGCATAGTGCAAGTTTAAACAAAGGTATTATTGCATTACCTAACAAAGTACCATAATATATTCCATGAGTGTGTGTACTGTTTTGAGTGTTAGATCTTTGTGTCTAATAGCAAGGGGAACTCACATATAATAAATGTTAGAAGCAAATTATTGAGAGCTAATTTTTGAAAATCTTAAATGTATTTTTAAAAAGAATGAGGGAACTATTTATTAAAATTTCCAAATTGTGCTTTTTGAATGATTCTTTTTTATATGAGGAATAATCAACGTGGACATTAAAAATGCAGCTGAGAAATAGATTGCTAGTCGCAGAGTGGTTTTGTACTGCCAAGTAAACAAAGAAATTGGGGATGAGACCGTGGCTAACAGTGGTTTAAGTTGAAATCAGTTGTGTCCCCAGGTTTGCTTTGCTGCTGTAGGAGTTACTTTCTGAGTAACTCAGTCTTCTTTTGTTCTCTCTGCACATGGCGATGTACATATTCTTTCTTTCTTTCTTCCCTCCTTCCTCCCTCTTTTTTTTTTTTTTTTTTTTTTTTTTCCTTCCTCCCTTTTTTTTTTCCTTCTTTTCTTTCTTGCTTCATTCACTCCTCCTACCTCCTATCTGTCTACCTATCAATCATTTTTACAAAGCAACAAGTCAGCTTTCGATTTGAATTAGGATCAGACACGAAGTACCATCTAATTCTCTCTCAGGTATTGTAATCCGGTCGACGGTGTGGTTAGCATGCCCAGATTTCGTTGAAAGCATCTCCGATGTGAATGGAACAGACATTTGGCCTGCTGCTTTCTGCGTGGGGAGTGCGGTAAGCCCACCCGCTTTGTCCGCCCTCCCGCTACCTGTGCTTGAGGTGCGCTGTGTGTGGGCCTCAAAGCGCAGCAGCACCAACCCCGGGGAGTCTTGAGAAATGCAGATCCTCAGGCCCTGCCCCAGACCTACTGATCAGGAAGGCAGCCAGCCATCTGGGTTTTAACAAACCTTCCAGGGGGTGCTGCCGCACACTCAGGTGTTGTTCCCCCACCTCCACCCCTCAGCACACACGTGCACCTTGCCTGAAACAGAGCCTCAGTCAAAACCAGCTGGCAAAAAACCCCCAAGAAGTTATCAATATATTGACTGTATTTTGGCAATGAACTATATATTTAAATAGATTACAGTATGCAAACATATAAACAAATCGTTGAATAAATAAATATGTACCATACGTGCACACAGACACACACACACGTTGTGCGATGCTCAAGGGAGGGACGCAGAGCGCGCGCGCACGCACACCGGCGCGGTGCTGGCTGCCTGCTCGGTGGCAGTGGCCGGCTTCCTTGCCTCCCTCCCCGACGGTGGAGCATCTGTCTCAGCCCATGACAGGGAGGCATCTTGATCTTGTTTGCAACACCCCCTTCGCCTTCCACTTGAAAGGACGTTCTGAGTCTTTCCTGCCCCTGCTAATTCGTTCTCAGAAAAGCAGCTTCCAGTTCAAAGCCCCCGGAGCCCTCTCACCAGTTTGAACCGCACACCTTAGACCTTCACCTGCCGAGCGCACGAGTGGACCAGAAGGTGGAGTCCGTTAGTCGGATCTGGCTGAGGAGACAGGACAAGCACACGCTCCCAGGCCACATCTTGCCCTTGCTTCCAGGGTCTGCGCCCACACGTGTCCCGAGAGCTGTCACGGGCTGCTTCCTGCTGTCCGCGGAAGCCGGCGTCTGCTGCTTTATTCCGCGGGTGGGCTGGGCAGCTCGTGCTGCGTTGATGCTGGGCTCTTGTTGCTTACAGATGTGGATCCAGCTGTTGTACAGCGCCTGCTTCTGGTGGCTGTTTTGCTATGCGGTCGACGCCTACCTGGTGATCCGGAGATCAGCGGGGCTGAGGTATTCACCGAGGCAACAAGCAGGGATTTTGGCCTGGTTCTATTTTATGAGGAGAGTTTGGAGATACCGCTGAGCAGAGTATTTTGCAGTAGGGCAGACACCGTCCATCAGACTCTGCCAGCTGGCCCCTCCATCTAGAACCATCCATTGAAGCTCAATTTTTTTTTTTTTTTTTGAGACAGAGTCTCACTGTGTTGCCCGGGCTAGAGTGAGTGCCATGGCATCAGCCTAGCTCACAGCAACCTCCCAACTCCTGGGCTCAAGCGATCCTCCTGCCTCAGCCTCCCGAGTAGCTGGGACTACAGGCATGTACCACCATGCCCGGCTAATTTTTTCTATATATTTTTAGTTGTCCAGTTAATTTCTTTCTAATTTTAGTAGAGACGGGGTCTCGCTCTTGCTCAGGCTGGTTTCGAACTCCTGAGCTCAAACAATCCGCCCGCCTCGGCCTCCCAGAGAGCTAGGATTACAGGCGTGAGCCACCGCGCCCGGCCTGAAGCTCAATTTTTATAAGAGACCAAAGGCAGTTTCAAAATATTGAGGATTTAAAAACCTTAAAAACAAGTAATTCAATAAATGTGGGACTAGAGAAATACCAAAAAAGAATTGGCGTGAATGTAAACAAGTTTTCATTGTGTGCGAAGGTTCAAGGAAAAATATTCTAAGTATGTATTGATAGTTCGTGCTAAGTCTGGGACCCGAGAGTGCTGGAGCGGAAGGAGTCTGCTTGCCAGGAAATTACACAGCGCTAGTAACTTGTGCGCCGGTGGGTTTGAACTCCGGCCCAGTCGCTCGGGAGCCGTGTAACTGTTGGCAAGGCGTTTGACCTCTCTGGGCTTGTTTCCTTAGCTGTAACGTGGTCCCCACTGCGTGAGGTCACCGGGAGGCGTAAACGTGATAGTCCGTGTGGACGGTTAAGCGCAGTGCCTGGCCGTCCAGGCTCCTGATAGGCGTCAGCTGTCACTGTAGTTGTGTGTGCACGTGTGTTGGGGAAACAGCAACACAGAGAGCTTAACGGACAAAGAGAAGCTGGACAGTGGCAGGGCAGGGCTCCAAGTCCAGGAAGCATTTGCTCCCCCGCACCAAGGTCACGGTCCACTTGAATCAGGTCCCCTTTGGTTGGAACCTTTGCTTGCCTTTTTTTCTTTTTAACAGCTTTACAAAGTTCCGTGTTTAAAAGTGTAAAATCTGGTGGTTTTTAGTATACTCATAGATTTGTGCAACCATAACCATCGTCCAATGTTATGACATTTTAGTTATGACCCGAAAATCTCAGCTGGTTATCACTTTTCCTCGTTTCCTCCTCCCCCTCTCCCCTGGCAATCGTGAATCGACTTTCTGTCTCTAGGGATTTACTTACTCTGGACATTTCATATCAGTGGAATCATACAATACATGACCCTATGTGCTTGGCGTTGTAAACTCAGCATACACGACATTTTCAAGGTTTGCCCATGTTGCAGCACGTGTCAGTACTTACTACTGTTGTGGACTCAATGTTCGTGTCCCCTCAAAACTCGTATGTTGAAATTGTAGCCCCAAAGGTGATGGTTTTAGGAGGTGGAGGCTTTTGGGACGTGATTAGGTCGTAAGTGGGATTAGTGCCCTTACAAAAGAGGCTCCAGGGAGCTCCCTCGCCCCTTCCACCATGTGAGGACACAGCAAGAAGGTGCCATCTATGAACCAGGAAGTAGGGCCTCACCAGACACCAAATTTGCCAGCGCCTTGATCTTGCACTTGCCATCATCCAGAGCTGTGAGAAATAAATTTCTGTTATTTAGAAGATACCCAGTCTATGGTATTTTTTTAAGAGATAGGGTCTCACTCTGTTGCCCAGGCTGGAGTGCAGTGGCTCAGTGATAGGTCACTGCAGCTGCAGCCTTGAACTGCTGGGCTCAAGTGATCTTCCTGCCTCAGCCTCCTGAGTAGCTGAGACTGTAGGCGCCAGCCACTGTGCCAGCCTAATTTTTTTTTTTTATTTCTTGTAGAGATAGGGTCTCACCATGTTGCCCAGGCTGGTTTCAAATTCCTGGGCTCAAGCAATCCTCCGACCTTGACCTCCCAAAGTGCTTGGATTGCAGGCATGAGCCACCACGCCCAGCATGTATTTTGTTGTAGCAGCCTAAACGGACTAAGACAATTCCTTTTCATTGTTGAATGATAATCTATTGTATGGATATACTATATTTTGTTTATCCATTTATCAGTCATTGGACATTTAGGATGTTTCCATCGTTTTGGCTATTAGGAATAATGCCACAATGAATGTTGTAGTGTTTGTGTGGACATAGGTTTCATCATATATTCCTGAGTATGTACCTGGGTATGAAATTGCTGGGCCACATTGTATCTTTAGGTGTAACCTTGTAAGAAACTGCTAAACTGCTTTCCAAAGTGGGGGCAACATTTTACATTCTCACCAGCAATATATGAGGGTTCCAATTGCTCCACATCCTCACCAACACTTGTTATTATCTGTTTGTTTTGATTTTAGCCAACCTAGTGTGCGTGAAGTGGTGACTCATTGTGCTTTTGATTTCACTGATGGCTAAGGATGTTGAGCATCCTTTCGTGTGCTTATTGGCCATTTGTATACCTTCTTGGAGAAACATCTATTCAGTTCCATTTCCCATTGCTTAACTGGGCTACTTGTCTTTTTATTGTTGAGTTGTAAGAGTTCTTTATATAGTCTGGATACAAGTACCTTATATAGTTCACAAATATTTTATCCCATTCTGTGGGCTGTTTTTACACTTACTTGCTGGTATCTTTTGAAGCATAAAAGTTTTTTTATTTTGATGAAGTCCAATTTTTTCTGTTTCTTTCTTTGCTTTCTTATGATTTTCCTTTCTTTTCTGTGAAATCATTGCCTAACCCAGGGTCACAGAGATTTATACCAGGGATGGGGGACCTTTTCATGTTGGAAGGCCGCATTAATTTAGCTATAATCAAATAAGGCCTCATTCAAGAAACTTCAATTAGATATACTTAAAAATGTACATTTTTGTAAAAATCTAACTACTATGTACTTAGTAATTTCAAAAAATGAAAACTACTTGTTAATTTTAAAGCTAATTAACCTTTTAATGACTGTGTTGTGCCTGCTCTTTGTTGGAAAGCACTTGAATATTTGGTTGCAGCATGGAAGTCTGCAGTTTCAGTTGATCCCCTAGATGGGTGTCAGTCATTTGTGACCTAAGGGGCATCTTGATTTGGGTCAGGCAGGAGAATGTAGATTCGCAGCAATAAGTGGTTGAAAAGCAAGAAAGCATTTTTCAGGCATGTTGTCGAACGTGTGGGTGTTCTACTGCATTTTTCCATATTTCACCTGGATCTTTCTTAATATCAAAGAATGACTTTAAAATCATCTACTGAGAGTTCAGTCAATTCCATCTGTAGTTTTTTAAAATGACTTGATGATATCAGCTAGGTGAGGCTGAAATGCTAATTAGAGTGTGATGTCATGATTCTCAAAGTCAGTGCACCTTTCATTGTATTCTACAATTAATAGGTCTATAACAGCTGCCTGTTCTTCAAATGATTCCTATATATCATCTTGCTCATCAATGACCTTTGCTAACTGGGGAAAATGTTCATCCAAACATTCCTTTTGAAGAAGTGTTTTGAAAAAAAGTAGTTTTTTTTGAAATGTTTAGACTTGTTGCCACATATCATATATAGACTTAGTTTTACCTTGCAAAGAAATATTCATGTCTTTTTGATTTGACATATGACACAGAAATGCTGCATTCCTATAGAAATCTTCTTCATAATTCACATTGCTGATTCTGTTCTTCATAAAATTTAACTATCTGTTTTCACAGAGATAAAATTTTGACTAACACCTGTCCCTGTGATAGTCACATGATGCGGCAAATCCACACTGAATACCTCATCATTCAACTTTAGCATGTTACAAAACCGACAATGTCATGTTGCATTTGCCCCAATATATTTAACAATACTTGTAACTTGTTGCCAAATGCCACTTAAAATAGTAGCTTTAGCAGAGAGATTTTGCTGATATAAGATACAATGAAAAGAAATGAGAGAATCTGGATGTTAATAATTTTTTTTATCTGTGCAATAAACCCTTCATGTTTTCCTGTCATGGAAGGTGCACTGTCTGTACATACACTCACTAAATTTACCAAATTCAGTCCAAATTCACATTTATCTTGAAATTTGTTGAAGATATCTATTCCCCGTGTTCTGTTCCCAAGAGAGCCCAAAGAGAGTAACTCTTCATAGCAAAGAAAATCTTCTGTTATGACCCGAATGAAGTATAAAACCTGTGCTGAGTCAGTAGTATCAGTTGATTCATTCCAAGCATCGAATAATACATATTTTCCTTTTGAAGTACCGCACGAAGTTGTTCTATTAAGTTGAAGGCTAATTCATGCTGCTGATCAGTTGTGGTTCTTCTTGAAAGAGGCAGTTGTTAGTATTTTGAAATGTTATCAGGGTCTAAGCATCCTACAGCTTAGACAATGCATTCTTTCACAGTTTCTACATCATTGAATGGCTTCCCTTTTTTCCCAAGTATATAAGCTACTTTATAAGTTGCTTCAGTGGCATTATTTCCAGGTCTTATTGCTGCTTGAAAGAATTGTCTTTGCCTTTGCTTTTCATCTTTCCATTTCTGCAATATAACCTTTTGGGCCTCTCCCTCTAATTTAAACTATTTGTGGTCCTTATGAGTGTTATAATGCTGATAACCACTGAATTTCTTTAATGTTGATACTGCAGTATCACAAAGCAAGCAAATCATCTTATCTTTAGCAGAAACAAGATAATATTGCAATTTCCAGTCATCATTAAGAAATCTGTTTTCTTCCTTCAGTGTTCTCTTGGTCTTCTTTGACACGATGGGCTGTTAAGCAGACAGAATTAAAAAATACTGTCGAGCTGTGCAACTAGTCCCAAATTCCACTTCAAACAGAAACACAGTGCACCACTGTCAAAAGCTGATAACAGGCTGGTGTACTCGACCCCCATAA